GTGTGGCTGCAGTATGGTGCAGCTCTCAGGTGGGGAAGGTGTGTGTTGTATCATCTCACTCTGTACTCAAAAACGGTGACTGTGCCAAGCTGAGGTACTACCTACCATGCCACCACACCTTCCTCTCTGAGGTGCGACACCTGTGCTGTGGTGAGGATCTGCCTACCCTGTATCTGGGTAGTGAGTACTGCAGGATGACTCTAGTGTGCCCTCAGCAGGACTTGAGGCCAGCACCTTTGGGCAGAGGGATGGGAAACTGACTTGCTGATATTAATCCCCAATTCCTCATGGATTCCTCACAAAGTGCTGAGTGACTTGCCTCAGTTCTACTACTCAGAAACTTCCCGGGCCATGGCCCCCAGTCAGGGATGGGCCTCAAAGGTGAGGGCCAATCTCATCCCATAAGCAAAGGCACTATCCCATTAGACCCCACAGACCCAACCCCGTGCCATAAAATCTGTGTCCGCTGCTTCATTTGAACTGTGAACTGAAGCCCAGAACAAAGCCCCGGCTGCTTCTGCCTCTTCAGCCTGCCTTTCTGGTTCTGTACCTGTCTTCAGGACCACCAGGTGCACCGCATCGTCCCGGACATAGGAGACTGCAGCAATGTCATGGATGGGGACCCTGAGGATGATGTCTTCGCCGTCTCTCCACGCTAGCTTAACATTGTAGGCAGAGAGACTGATCACAGCATCGTGCTCCTGGGTCAGATGTCCAGGGAGCTGATGAGCCCTCTGGAAAAATACATAAGTTACCAGGAATGCAGGGCCCTGGCTCCCCTCCAGGAAAATGCTCTACCCCCGCTGTCACTGGCTGGGTGTAATCACAGGGTGCAAGATTATTTAGAGTCTGACATAATCAAGTATGGGTGTTGCCATCAACAGCCACACCATTTCAGGGCCAAGTGCAAGGCTCGGACCCTTCAGAGGATGACACTGAAACTATCTTTAGATTCAGATCACTAACATGTTGTTTTGAATATCTGGGAAATTTAAATTCTGCAAACAGCCACAGACCCCAGGAAGCAAGTCTAGTGAATGCACATTCAGACCGAGGGCCACTCTTCCTGGCCAGGAAGCAGGTGCAGCCGGACTATAGGAAGCTGGAACCCCCACTCCACACAGGAAGGCCAAGAGTCTGAGCAGAGAGCTAGTGCAGACCCAGGACACAGGGTGGAGTAAGAGGATACAATTACCTTTGCATTGTCTATAAAATGCAGAATTTCAGTCCTACTGGAGGGATTCAGGTATCCTGGTATGGAAGTTAACTGACCCAAGTACTGAAAGAGATTGGAGAAAAGAGCACCGTGAGAGATGGAGGGCAGCCCAAGTCCTCCTTAATGCAGGAATCGGCACATACGGCACGGCTCTGAGCGCTCCCGGCAGCAGGCCACAGTCTCCATGCTGCGGAGAAGCCCTGTTGAGAAAGCATGTCTGTGTCCTCACAGAAATCTCCAGCGGTTGGACCAGCCTCCCCACTTTCTACTACACTGTATTTGGTTTCATCAAAAGTGTTGCAACGAGCACTACCAGTCTGGCAGAGCCTTGATTCCTATCTAACTACCTCAAAGGCAGGGCCCTCCTGTGTGGAAGGTTGTGCAGGTACCTGCTGGTTTCATGTCTTCATCTCCACTACACCCAACGTGTATATTCTTAAAGAATGTTTTGTTTTTTAATGGGTTCTTCTTTGTTCCCAAGAAATGTCTTGTATACATGCTTACACAGCCTTTTGTTAACGCATATATTTAATCTATTAAAAGGGGCTAAAGTCATGTTTCCCTCTCGGAGGTACATGATGGACAGACCTCCCTCTGGCCTGACTCTAATTAAGAACTTCGGGCAGGACAGAGTAATGAGAAACATCCTCCCAGTCAAAGCTGTTCCCTTTCCTTCCCTTGTGAAGGTAAGCACCATGAATACACCAAAAGAGAAAAACACTGACAATTGTCATAAAACACTCCTGAGTGTGAGACCTCTTGACCTCAGAGATATTAAAACATGAAAAGTCATTTAGTGACACAGTAACAAATGCCTACTTACATTATTTAATTTACAATCATAAAACATTGTCATCTTAAAAGGTTAAAAGAAGTTAGCAATCTACATTAAGGTCACACTACCAGGCTTCTGAACTGTCACCGAACAATGACTGTAGTGTAACAGCCTACCCTGAAATTATAAAACATGATTGGTGAATGGAAGAAAGGGGCAAATTTTATTCATTGCAGAAATCTCATGCACCTAATCTAATCTGTGGCCATTAATTCTTTGCTTAGACATTCTAGAGACAGGAAACATAATGCTTTCTAAGAGACTCTATCCTAATACAGACCAACTATTATGAGATAGTTCTATGTTCTGGAATTCTTACAAGTCTTTCTGGATTGATCTTCAAATGTTCTCTTTTTCTCATTTCTACCTTTGGTTCTCTTATTTGAGAGACATTTCTGAATTTGTCTTTCACTATTCTACTGAACTTTAAATTTTAGCTGTGACAGTTTAAATTTCCAACAGCTATTTCTTTTTTTCCAGGTTTCCTCAACGTCCTTTTAAGTATTCCGTTCTTGTTTCATGGGTATACTATTTTATCTTACCTGAGAGTTTAAAATGTATTTCTGAAGTGCAATTTACACTCAGTGAATGAGCATCTTAAATGTACCATTTGGACAGTTTTGACAAATGCAGACAGAATGTGTCAGACTGCAAAGTCATTTGAACTGCAAGGTTGGTGGTTCAAGCTCACCAGCTGCTTCTTGGAAACCCTACACAGGGTCACTATGGGTTGGAATCGATTCAACGGCACTTAACAACAACAAGTAATTGACACCCTTAACAAGATCTAGAGACTCTATCACCCTGTAAAGTCCCTGTAAGCCTCCTTTTCTGTCAACTCCTAGTGCTAGCACCATACCTTAGTTTTCCCTGCTTAAGAACAAAATGTAAATTGTAATACTGTCTGGATACATGGATTTTTTTTTTTAGTTCAAAGTTAATACCTGGGCTAACAAATCTTTGTGTGTGTGTGTATGTGAACTGCGTGATAGTTACACAGGAGAACATGGGCTTTACACCATCGTTTAACTGCAATGATTACAATCTCCTCCATGCATCATCATTCAACAGTATTTACTTCCATTCACTTTGTTTTTCTTTTTTGGGGGGTGGGATGGGGTGGGGAGATGTACAAAAAACACTCAGGAATATATAGTAATTTAAACAACCAAAGGGCACATTCTGCAAGCCCGCCTCCTAGCCGCCAGCATCCAGTCCTCCGTCTCTTTCAATCCATGGATTTTTATTTGTTCAGTCTGAAGAGACCCAGAAATCTAAATACAAAGGATCAACTGTGCAGCCACTAAATAAGAACACGCACGAGCCATTCTTTAACCTGGAAGTAGGAGCAAAGTTTGCAACTACAACAAGAACCCAAAATCAATTAAAGCAAAGACTGATTAACTTTAATGCATAAAAAGAAGTAAGTTTACATGACAGGAAAATCAAGCAAAATCCAGACACAAATGGCACACTGGGATAAAATGTTTGAAGCTGGCTGTTGTTAAGTGTTGTCAAGTTGGTGCCGACTCATAGTGACCTTGTATGGCGTCTCTGAGGTTGTACATCTTTATGGAAACAGAGAGCCTCATCTTTCTCCTATGGAGTGGCTGGTGAGTTTCCACTGCAAACTTTGTGGCTAACAGTCCAGTGCTTGTCCTACAATGCCACCGGCACTCCTGAAACATGTGTCACAGGTAAAGGGCTAATGTAGCTAATAGTCATACAAATGAAAAATGGAAGCGAGGAATAACCAGCCAATTGAGATCAAAAGGGCAGAGTTCAGAAGAAAGAAGGGTAGGAAACACAGGAGGAAGTGAGATGAGTGACAACACATGTTAGGAACTACAACCATGACATGAAACAAAACGTGCAAGAACTGCTGAACAAACAACTGATTTGTTTTTTAAACCTCCACCCAATTCACAACAACTATATATTTAAATAGAAATTAGAAAATAAAATGTCCTATAGAAAAAAGCGGACATACCACCCATCACTAAGGGATGCATCCTAGAGCAAATGAAACTGACCAGCCCTAACATTCGGTAAGTTCACAGCCCTTTACAAGTTCAAGGGGATCCAGTCTCACTCAGCTCATTATTTTGTTAGGTCGCTGTGTCTGAATGTGTTCTCTTAGTCCATTCATTCTGCTTTTAAATTCAAGACAAACTTGCCAAAATGAAGAGTTTTCTGATACCCCTCCCCCCGACACACACACTTTAAAAAATATTGTTTAGATAACATGGATTTTTATTTTTTCAATTTGAAGTGATGCTAGTTTGATCACTTAGTTAAGGATCATCAGAAACAAACTTTAACCTTCATAAGATAAAAAAATTAGCTCTCTACAATGTATGTACAATGTCTAATACACAATAAAAAATTAGAACATTTAAAGAAACAGTACAATGTCATCAGTTTAAAAAAAAAAATCAATGGACACACACCTTCAAATATTAGAATTAGCAGAAAAGGCGATAGATAATGTTGGCTGTTAAGTTGCTTCTGACTCATAGCGACCCTATATATAGGGTTCCCAAGGAGTGGCTGGTGGGTTTGAACCACTGACCTTGTGGCTAGCAGCCCACTATTTATAGGATAACTACAGCATCACACCAGGGCCACAGAGAGACAGAACTATTAAAATATATTAAAGAGTTCACAGAAAGAGATGGCTATAATGTATGAAAATGGGAAATTTCAAGGAATTGGGAAACAGCAAAAAAGAAATGGAAATTCTAGAACTGAAAGAAGAGTATATGAAAGAACTCACTGGATGCAGTAGTAGGCAGAATATTGTAACATCCCATTCAAGATGTCCACGTGTTAATTTGGAACTGCTCCACATGGTTTCTTTAGCTGTAATCTTCATAGAAGAAAAGTGCCAGGTCTTTCTTCCAGGGAGCCCTTGGGTGGGCTCAAACTGCCAATCTTTCAGTAGCAGCCAAGAGCACACTGTTTACACCGTCCGCCCATTTCAACTTACAGCAGCCTTACAGGACAGAGCAGGACGGGTCCTCAGGGTTCCTGAGTCCATAGCTCTGTATGAACAGACAGTCTCAAAGTGAGGAAGACGATGGGAGGGGTCAAGAGAAGAAACGTGGGCAGTTACTACATTTGTAAAGAAAGTGGGTTCTTCTTTAGGGTCTCCAGAATGGAATACAAGCTTGCCAACAGTTGATTTTAGCCCAGCGAGGCCCATTTCAGACTTCTGACCTCCAGAAGTATAAAACTATAAATTTGTATTGTTTTAGTCACTAAGACTGTAATAGTTTGCTATAACAATAGGCAACTAACACAGACAGGCTACTAAGGAGATTGGACATAACAACTATAACAGCTAGAGGGTTAAACCAAATTAGAGGGCTGAGACTAAAATGCGGAAGAAAAAACAAGCCTCGATGATCTTTGGGACAGTATCGAGTGGGTTATTTTGGAGTCCCAAAGGTCCCAGAAGCAGAATGGGCTGAAAAATCACCGGAAGAACTACTACCAAAAATGTTACAAATTTTTTAAAAAAGAGCAATCTACTGGCCCAGGAAACTCAGAATCTCCATAGTAAGACATCCTATCCAGACGGAGTGACAGCTGATTTTCCATCACCAACACTGGAGGTCAGAAGGAAAAAGAAGAACAACAAAAAAACCTATCAATCCAGCATCTGTATCTGTCAAAATTAAGGTGAAACAGACATTTTCAGGGACACAAAACTCCCAGCTAAACCATACTAAAAGAAATGTCAAAAGCTCTTCAGGCTGAAAAGGAAATGATATCCGATCAAAATTCTTATACACAGAAAGGAAGAACACCAGAAATGGCAAATATGAGTATAGCAGACTGAAAACGGACCCCTGAAGAAGTCAGAAACTTACAAATGTGGAAGAAGGGCCTTTGCAGATGTGACTTTAAGATACTGACGTAAGGAGATGGCTAATAATTCCCATTCTGTTAGATCACCTTTCTTTGGAACGCATAAGGGTATCTTCCCATCAGCTGACCAGATTTCTTGACATACATGACTGAGCACCTCCCACGCTGAACAGATTTCTTCAAACATTTCAGCTGGTATTCTGTCAATATCTGGAGTCTTGTTTACTGCCAATGCCTTCAATGCAGCTTTGCCTTCTTCAGCACTATCGGTTCTTAATCATAACCTACCTTCTATAATGGTTCAACACTGGCCAATTCTTTTTGGAACAGTAACTCTGTGTATTCCTTGCATCTT